ATGTTGAGTGATTTGGAGAAGTAAAAACGCATAAATGTTAAAACATTAGCTCGATAAGCACCTCAAATGTAAAATTTTACTGGTTTTTGGTGAGATGACCTTCTTTGTGAAAGATGCTTCCATTGCCCAGGGAAAGTGCACATTCGTAGAGAGAATCCTCTCTGGTATTACTACAATCTGAACCAAAAGTCTGTTTGAAAAAAAAGTGCAACAAAAAACACAATTTCAAAACTGTACTTTCTATCGACCCAGAATGCTTAAATTTAAAATATTACTTACCTTACTCATTGTTCCCGCAGGAAGAGTTCTTCTCTCTGCGTTAATTAAACCGTAATTCTCAAAGGTAATTTGTGTTGGATGCGTTACATTTGAGTACGTGTGCTGAAGAATGACGGAACAATAATGGAATGGCTCAAATCAATTTCCTGAACAAGGCTAACATGAAACTGGTAAAATAACCTTGTATGATGCTGGAGTGCTGCGGAACATGAAAGCCCCAGTTGCTGGTTCTGCCTTCAAAGCGTTTTCGAGCACCGACAAAAACGACTGGTTTTGAAACACAACAAAAACCTCGTCAAAATCTGATAGCGCCAAATACTTGGTTTTACCTCTTGAGCGCATAATGCAATCATTCCATGCAAGAACGTGCTGATAATCAAATATTAATTAAAATTCTCTACTTCTAGTTCTTCTTCAGTTATAACCTTGAAAAATCGTCGCAAGAAAGGCACTGCCTACCTCACCGCGAAAAATTTGTTTATTCACGTCTTCTGCCTCTGAAGTATTTTCAGGTACTGGAATTATTCCCCATGGAACACGCTCAATCTCAATACGTGGGTCATTCTCATATATATGAAACAGAGCATCGACTTCTGGGGAAATACTGTGATGATAAAGGTAAAATTTTGTTGCTCCGTGCTCGATCCACATCTATAGCTCATCGCTTATATCGTTTGTGTCTTTCATCAAATTTAAACTCTTTGGTCAGTTCAATTTAATACTAATTTTGAAGCGAAACGGGCAGATTGGGTAAAGAGGGCATGCTTTGTTCTGTAAAATAATGATTTTTAGTTCTGTTTAACAGAGTTACATTTACCTCGAAAAACTGCGGCAAAACAGTCCATTCAGCGTAATGCAAGATTGGTGCTGGACAAACGGCTAGCTTGTGCTGGCGAGTGCCTAATCTAGAGTCAATTAGTCGTAACGATTTTTTCTCCTCAGGATGGGAAGTGAAAAATACGTACAATTTTTCAGTTTTGTTTAAAACTTTTTTAACCTGGACAGGGTCAATTTTCCTTGCAACTCCATACTGTCCATAATAGGTACATCTGAAACATCTCAACAATGTCACATGTTCTCGGATTCTGACTGATGCAATAGTGCTTAAGCGGAAATAAGCGTAATGATAAGAAAAGTGTAAAATAAGTATGTATATCTTTACAGATTTAAAACTTTGTCCATATTGTAAAAAATCGAATTATCTCAAGATTATTTTCTTTACCGAGGAACATAACCGCTCGGGCAGCTTTCAAAAGAGTGTTGCTGTATCACAGTAGGTTCTTCATCACCTACTTGAAGGCTTATAGTGGGATGATATTTGCATTTGGTTATATATGTTACTTTTATCTCCTCGTCCTTTATAAGATAAGCATTCACGAAATAAACCTAAAGTGCCAAAATAAAGTG